GGGGGGGGGGGGGGGGGGGGGGGGGGGGGGGGGGGGGGGGGGGGGGGGGGTGACGCAGTTTGCGTGAGGGAGTACATAGCGCGTGCCCGAGGCTTTTCGGCAAAGGTGAAACTGCCACATTTCATTCCTGTTTTGCGACAACGACGGCCGATCGTGCAGGAGGGTACCCATGTCTCTCTGCGGATCGATTATTGGAAAGAGATTCTATGCATAGAACGGAGCTGGACCAAGGATGATGCCGTAATCGGAGAAATAAGGCCGAGACGTCCCACAGGCTCGATGCTCGAAGTAAAGCCATGGAACAAGGAAACTGATCGACAAAACTCCTTGCGAGCGGACGGTGCATGTTCCGGAGCTAAGAGGTACAATACACTTGTAAATGATGAACGGCATGTTGCCTGGTAAAGCAGTATATAGCCGACATATTGCTGTAAGTCTAAACATTATATTGTTTGACACATGGTGGTAGTGCAGGAGGAGGGAGGTAGCTTGCCTTGACTCTCAGGTGCGCTATACCAGAGGCGTTCCGATCAGAGGGCATCGACCATTGTCTACATTGTACTAGGGTGGTCTGGTCGTGGTATCCATGTGCAGAGTCTATCTCCATCGTTATCGATGTGAGACATGTCTATCGCTACATGTGGTATTGCTGCACAGTACCTGCTGTTCGCCCAACTAAAGATGCACATGATATTGGTTTCAATAATGTGTAGGAACCCATTTCGCGCCAGAAAAAGGTGAACCGCTACCCTCGACTTCCACAAACCACTTCGGCTGCTACGCTCGGTCACACTGCAGGGAACTTCACAGATGTACAACTATCACATGAGCGTAGACTACGATGGCGCAAGCGGAGGGGACCACTACTGGCACTAAAAATGCTGCAAGCGGAAGAGAACCTATGCCCGCAACATCAATTCTTCAAACACTGCCTAGTGAAGCCATCACAGCGGCGGCAACCGAAGTTGTGGCTGAAGCTTTGACCACGGCCCATGGGCGCTTATCAAATGCGGGTGCCATGGAAGAACATACGTCAGCTGCAGTGGCGAGTGCGACGATCAAGGAGAAACTTCCAGCACCAGCCGATGCAGACGATAGTAGGGACGGTGCGTTGACCGATCGACAGGCGGGGGCGTCGCCGAGGTCCATGAAACCGGGTGGGGACCTCAGGGGAAGCTTTCTTGCAGCCGTGGGGAACACCATATCGCAGGCGGTGAGATGCACGTTCCTTTTCGCACATAGTATAGCATGTTTCAAGTTACTGCTGTATTTTGCCCTGCGCCCGTTCTTCGTTAAGCGCGGGTTCCCGACGACATTATGACACACGTATGCGTCGGGTTTCCGAATGTGTAAATTGGTCATTGCTATATAGACCTAGCTCCTCAGAGTCGAAGTACCCAATGTTAATATCCGCGTCAAAGTTACGCACCGTGCCGGGGTTTGGATCAGCACGAAGCACGTGTCGGACGGTTGTTGCTCGATACTACCCGACGTTCGTTGTCTCCTACAGGGGCCGCTCACGCCATCTCAGCCCTTTCTCCTTGAACGACCCAACCTTTTTCCCCAGCCCGCGGAAGATTACTTCCTCACACCTGCTGCTTTGCTCGTGTGCAGCAAACCAACGCAAACATGCCCACACCACCCACCGCTTGCACTCCCGGCTTTTCGCGTGGTTTTTTGCATGCAGGAGCCGCTAGGGGTACCAAAGATAAACCCGGACGATTCCTCCTCTTCGAGCGGGGAAGAGTCCGAACCCCCGGTGAAGCTTCCCCGGCGCAGCCGCCGCGCTTTATCCATCATGAGGGCCGGAAACGCGGCGCTCTCTTTGTCCAGCAGTATACCCGCTGCTTCCGCGGCCGACCCCGTCGCCCTTGAAGGGGCTTCCTCGCAGGTACACCAACACCAAGGAAGAGCCAGGAGGCTGACCTTGGAGGACATGAACGAGTCTGTCAGAAGCCTGCTCCTGGTCGCGCCCGCCTACCCAGACGGGGTCGGGGGGCGTCTCGCCGTAGCCCCTTCGAGTTCCGTAGCCGAACCGCCGACTAACTCCGGGAGTGACGCCGCCGGGAGGAGCAAACAGAGGAGGTATAGGATGGTGTTTGACGACGAGGGCTTGGCCGCAGCGGACTCGGGAAGAAGAGAAGCAAGGGCGCGGGGGCTCCCGTTCGGTCTGGAGGCTGTGCCCGACGAAAGCGACCCGACCCTGCTGTGTGTTCGAGAGGTTGCATCGGGTGGGGTAGGTTGCATTGGACCCGTTGTTGTGCGTGTGAAGGCTACACCAACGGTTGCGAGCCGGCGGGAAGCCGTCTACAGTGTTCTTCTTGGTGGAGGCAAAGGGGAGGGTGCGGAGGGAGAGTTGATGGCGATCCGGGTTTCGACGCACCCGACGAGGCTTGCTGCTCCGAGGGAGGTTCAGGCGGTGCTTCTGCTTGGCCAAGATGAGGGGGAGGAGCCGGCCGGAGGGGAACTGCATGAGCAAGGAACTTGCGGGTGTGTTCTTCGTGTGCGTGTCTATTGACCCTGTCGCAGTTACATGTGTGTCGATGACGCAGCGCAGATGACGACAACGGTAGTTGTCTGGAACTCGTGGTCGGAAAATGTTGGGCACGACACGTAGAGAACGCGGTTTCGAAAGACAGGTGCCTACGGAAATCCAGCGACTCTCACCTCGTTGGAATAACCAAGTCCAAAACGTTTGTTTGTTAAGAGGTGGCGTACGGGAGGCCTGTGAAGGCTCTTAGTTAGCATGACCTGGGCAAGGCCACATTGGGCACAGTGCGAGCCTCGGCGCGGAGTGCGAGCAGACCGCTCCCTCGTTCCCAATAGCGTCGTCCCCGTGACCACCTGGGTGAGCACACACTTCCCTGCTCACACGTGCCATCCAGTTCACCATACCTAATTGTTCCGTGAAACTAACCAACCTTGCCCCAACCCTAAACAATAACGATGTGCAGAGTGTCGGTGTGGGACTCGGCGACGGCAAGCCGGGCCGATGGGTTGTGGGAAGCCGCCGTCGCCGGAAAGGCCGGTCAAGCGGTTGTCAGGCTGCAGAGCAAGGCGGCCACGTGGTCTTCGACCGCAGAATCGTTCGAGCTGGACTTGCTAGAGGTGCACACACAGTTAAATTTAGGTCGTGCTTGAAGAAAGCCCACCACCCGAAAGGCATGAGATGACTGTATTTTTTCCGTCCAGGCAGCCTTCAATGTCCTGCGAACACCGAGACACAAGAGGAGTGTCCTAGGGTGACGCGGGCAACGTCATTGTCGATACCGTCGCCCTGCCAAGTACATATCCGACAAAGTGTAACGACTCACACACAAGTGCTGCGACCCATGTGCCCTGAGTATGTCTCTCAGGCACGTGAAAATACCCCAGAAAAGTACCACAACATGAAGTGCCCACAGAATTTTTCGTTTTCCGTGTGAACCTGTTTGACGTCCGTTCTCCGCACCCTCGTTTTACGCACTCTCCACTGCCTTGGACGACGGCCGTTCCGGACAACAGGCGTGGCGGCCAGGTCGACTAGGCGCAAAGATGCCCACACGAACGGAACCAGCCTCCGCCATCGCAGCTAGTGCTTCGTCACAACCCGCCCCCGAGACGGTGCAAATGGTGGCAGCCCGCGATGGGAGCAAAAGCGCTAGGAGCGGCTCCTCGAGCGCTAGAAGTGATGGGAACGGAAGCCGCCGGATACCATCGATGCAGCTTGCCCGGGTGAAGGACACTGGTAGTAGCCCGACGGCAGGCAGTGGCGGCAAAACAGACGCGGGGAAAGAAGAGGGCGAGTTTTCGTGGGAGGTGGCGGTGGCCGCGCCGATGCCGCCGTTGCATGGGTTCTGCCTGGCCGTCGTTGGGTTGGAGACGGAGATGGTGGGAGCAGCCGTCAAGCTAGTGGATAGATCGGCGGAAGTGGCAGAAAAGGAGGCAGCCGTCGGGTTTGAGGGGTTTGGCAAGGTGAGGAAGAGCAGACTTGGCTTTTGACGTATTCGGACGATAAGCAACAACAACAGAATTACAAAAATGGGTTCTAAGTTGTCCCATATTTTGTTGGCTTACCTGAACCAAGTGCTTTCGTAGTCTACGTTTGCAGCTCGCTAAGTTTTCGACTGCCAACGCGCGTTTTGTGCCCTACATCGATTGCCAGCATTCGGTAGCACCAACTACTACCCACCACCACCAAAACCAACCTTTGTGCCGATTAACGAAACTCCGGCAGCAGCAGAACCACGACCACCCTGACCGGCCTTTCCTTCTGCCCGTCGCGCACATCGTTCCCGTGCCCCCCTTTCTTAAAATTGACCGGTCCCATTGCGACAGGCCCTAACCCAGGAAAGCAAGGGCGCCCTTTTCGCCCCCGGCGCGACTCCGCAGGCTAGCGCTCGCCGTAAGGAACAGCAACACCAGCAGCAGCAGCAGCAGCAGCAGCAGCCTCGGAGAGAGGAAAACGACGAAAGCAATGTGCCATCGGTCCCGGCGCTCGCTCTCGGCGTGGTTGCGTCGGTTGGGGCGCAACAAGCAGCTCGTAGCGGCGGTGCTGCTTCCTCTGGTTCTGGTTCCCGACGGCCCTCATCCCGGAGAAGCAGCGCCGGAGGTGACAACAACAACATCAACAACAACATCAATGGACCCAGCAGCGTCCTAAAAAAAAACAGTATCGGCCAAGACGCGGGTGCGGCGGGGCAGCAGCTCGGTAGCGGCGTGAAGAACGACGATGATCGAGGAGTCGTCGTGGGAGCCGGGACAGAGGGGCAACCGGCGGCGGCGGTGGCCGCAGCGACGGCGGCGACGGGTAGAACAGTGCCGATTCCTGTGAAGCGAAGAATGTCGGTGCAAGTAGCGGCCGCTGTAATCGTCGACAAGGTGTGATGATTTTCGAAAAAGCAAGCACAGCCGAATCGAGGGAGAGATTGGCGGCAGGAGCGTGAAAAACATAGGAAGAACAATCCCCGAGGTGCTTTGACGGGTCTCACCCCCCGGAACAGATACACCTGAAAGGATTCTTGTGACGCATCTACCGCACGCACGTATGCAACTGGAAATCCTACCAGTTCTGACCCGCCGTGGCTACGTGCCGCTTTTTTCCTTCTCCCTGCAAGAGCCACATGAAGTCAATGTCGTTTTTCGTTCGACGCGACAACGTTTCGGGTGTCTCTGGGAGTAGCCACCAAAGTTTTGTTGGAGCATCTAAACGAGGAAAGGATCACAACGTTCCAACGTCCGTCTAGCGAGCAATTGTTGGGACTCTTCACGCAACAACTCGCCGGGCGCGTCAACGCTAGAGCCGCGCTTGGGTCAAGGCCTAGGTGGTCGGTCCTCCCCCTCCCCGGATTTCAGACACAGGGATGCGACAGTCTACAGTACACATGCGCAGGAATGCGACCATCTATTGTAGTGAGTCTAACCCCCTTTCAACATTTTCGAGAGTACGCTCCCTCGCCCCCCACCCCCCCGCAACCAGGTCTACCGCAATACCTACGTCTGCAACCTCTGCCTGTTAACCTTGGCGGTCTCCTTCATGGCGGACCTCTACCCGGGGGCTCCGTCCCACAACGTTCCCATTTCGACCGCCCTGCTGTGGGCGTGCAGCAACGTCGACGGCGTGAGGGCCCTGCGGAGGCGCTCCTTCGCCTACGCTCTCAGCACTGCGGTGCTTGTGTCTCTGTTCATGGATGTCGACTTCCTCGCGTCGGACCTTAAGGTGCCAGCAACACATTCATGGACTTACTACACATGTGTGGTTCGATTTCTGTATATTGATGGTGAGACAGAGATGTGCGCATGCATTTCTAAGTGGACAAGGAGACCCAGCAAGGAATCGCTGCCGGCAAGTACATTTAATTCTGTTGTTTCAAGAGAGGTCAGAGGACGTCAAGTCCAGTGTCCTTGCGTGCGGTCCTGTGATGGGAAGAGGGTAGCAGCTTCTTGCGTGAATATGCTAGGGCCATCGCTGTCTCATTGTGTATGTACGCGTCGGGATGTTCCGACCCACCTGTTCCAACAACCGGTACGAATCATGTGTGTTTGGCCTGTCCGTCCAGGCGTACGCGTTGAGCCGATTAGAGGAGGAGGACGACGACCTTCAGAGAGTCATCGTCGAAAGAAACATGCACACGTTCGGGAGGATTGTTGTTGGTATCGTGGCGGGACTCAAGGCGCTGTCCTGGCAAGGGCTGCTCGCGACCTTTCCGCAGGTGTTGAATATTCCCGGTGCTTTCGTTTCATGTGTCGATACACACATTCATATTACTAATCATGTCCTCTAGAGGGTGACGATATTCTAAACTATCCTCTCTCTGCATGAGAGTGTGAGGAAGTGTTCTTGGCATACTGAAGATGAAATCATGCCTCGTCGGCAGGTCAACTTCAACCAAAGTTTGAGGGCAGCGTAGCGATTCCTTCCCTGTGGCAACTGGCTCCAACGAGAGTATGCGGATGTTGTCCTGTGAAGTTGACGACCGCGCTTGCTAAGGAGTTCTTGAAGTATTGAACAAGATGTGGGGTACCTATCAAATATCGGTGGAGGACTTCCTTCCTTGCAGGTCTAGTGTTAACTCGATACGCTATATCTCATACTACCCTCAAATATGCTGGGAAAGCTTGATGAATGTGTTCCTGCCTCACTTTCAAAGTCGAAGCGAACGCGGGCCCGATCACCTCGTAACCTAGTGGTCCCTACTCTACGACTGTTCACGTACTCAACAAACCGTTTTTTGGATAACGAATCCCGTTCTGTGGTTCTCAAAAGGGCGTCCATGCGCTGAACCTGCTCTGGAGGAGGTTTAAGCTGTTCTTGCCCGTGTGGGGATCGCCCCGAAAGCTCACCAAGGAGGTAAGGTACCTGACAAAGTGACCCTGTACAAAATATGTCGAACAAGGTCGGTCATATGCAAACCGTCCTTGGTTGTGGGCCATTTCGCACGGAACTCGTATACCGGAACAAGCCTCATGTTAACATGTGAAAAGTAGCGCCGTGGAGTATGCGTCGCCCGGGGTTGCGCGGTATCCATATTGGTTGTACCCACTGTTTGCGGCCTACGTCACTCATTTATCGGGTGAGACTGTATTGGTGATGTACTAACTTTACGAGAGGTAGACGACCGTCCTTCACACGGACGAAAGAGGGAGTGCTCAAAGAGCGGCTCCCACAGCAAGGAGGGACCCCGTGAATCATCGCGGTGCCCCCTACCAAACGGCAATCTTACCAGTCTACGTGACACGTGACACCAAAATCATCCAGCACATGTATCCAACACCAATGTTCGCAGACCCACGAACATCCACGACCCGGAAACAGTAGCGAGGACCGACGCAATATCTGGTCCTGAAGATATCAGTTGAAAAACCGGCCCCTTTTCGTCCTTAAGATAATGCTGTCCATTCCATCTAAACCTCTTCCATCCATCTGTCCGTCTATCATCCAATGCACGACCAACCATTGTGTGGTCGCCCCCGTCGCCTGGCTCCACTTCAGTGAGGAATTATTGTCCCTCTGGCAACAATAGCAGTAGCAGGGCAACAACAACACCGAGGACAGAGCGAATGATATGAATTGATTTCCTTGGAATCTTATCTCACACGAGGGCCCAACGCCTCCGTCGATTTTTCATCCTCCAATGTCCAACCCAGGTGTACAACCGCGTGGTCGCCTTGGCCTGGCTCCATCTGCTTGCTGCAATGGCTCTCGCAGTCATGGCAGGCGTTGCAGGGATGGGGTTCGAGTGGGCTCCGCAGTTCGCCAGCTCCCAGGGGGCGGGTATTCCGCTTGCCGCCATCTGCTTCTTGAAGGCAAGACACTAGGGGCAGGGGGCGGGCGTACTCTTGTTGCTTGCCATTGAGCCGGCTGCCTCGTCACGCATGCACTCCCTCGATACCTTTAGATGAAAAAAAGCTCCTGTTTCACCGTGTCGTCGCCAATGGTGAACTCGTTAAGACTACATCCAACTAATCTTCTTGGAAAGGACGGGGAGGGGGG